TTTAGATCTCTTATTATCCATTTGGGGTACAGATTCCCGGATTCTTCGGTGGAGACAGTGACAAGAGTGACAGGCGGGCCTTGGATGCTGCCAACCGACTGGGCCGATCTTGCCTGGCCCTCGGGTGTGGATTGGTGACCTGGCCCACCTGCCCTTTCTATCCAGTCTTCCTGCATGCATGCCCTTCTATCCAGGCCCGCGGCCTGGGCGGGTAGCGAATTTGTCGCATCTGTTTTGCTGATACCCTTTTTTTTCACTGTTGTCATTGTCAGAGTTTTTTTTTTAGAAAAAAGGAGTTTATGCTGCATCGCGTCGCTGTTCCTACTTTCTACTGCATGGGCCATGGACACGAATACACAATACACTGTGGGTAAGAAAATAAAGTGCCTATATATATATATATATGATATATGATATGCATGCCCTGATGCCCATGCCGCATCTACAGACAGCACGTACGAGCACAGCTTCGGTTCTGCTGTTACCTCTGAGGCTCTGACCACACTGTATGTATAGACGTAAAGAATACGTACGTACATGTCCCATGGCCCATGCGGCCATGCCTGAGGTTTAGTATACGTCACCGTCACCGTCTCGCCGACGATGACCTTTATTTATTTTATGACAAAATAATTGAGGGTGCGTCGTCCACGTATGTATGATGACTAACCTTCGATTCTGAATTTCTGATCCATCCAACTAATCCATTTAATTTAATATAATAATTAATCGTTAAAGTATACGTATACATGCTGGTAGCTTCCGCGGCACGAGCATTGGATCCTAAGTCGCTCTCACCTTGCATGGGAAGACAAGTACTGAAAAATGAGAGGAGCATCCGGCGACCATCATCAACCATGTGTGATAAAGACGTCCTTGTATATATGTGCACATGGCCCACATGCACGCATGTAGGTGGGTCCTCATGACAGTGATGTGGCCAATGTCGTCCTGCCCCCACCGCGCGCTCCTCTTTGTCCTCGGCACAACTGTCTTTATTTTCTTTATATAAGAATAAAAAATTATAATCCATGCATACCAATTTAATTACTCAGCATCTTGCCATTAGAAAAAGATAAACAACTAGTGTACTACACTACTACAAACTAAGAATTTGATGCTAATCTTTTATGTATGTTCGTTCTTCAAGTGAAGATGTCGTATTGTATTAGCCACCACCATCATCATCAACATGCATGTTACATGTGAGAGAGCTTTAGGATGGATCGGAGGAACAGGCCAAAATCAAAGCCCATGCATCATCATTGCGTTGCACGCGACATGCATACATCTAGAATTATTATTAATAGAGAGACTTTAATTTGCATCAAGCACCGATCCAGCTCCCGTACGTACGATGATGATCAACCCGTAGCGGTCGCGTTTCAAAATAAACCCGTGTAAGGGCTTGTTTAGATGTCGCCCAATCCACCTCAACACATATGTTTTAGGGTAAATTTGGGTGGAACTTGAACCAAGTTCTACCCCAATCCACCTCAACACATGTGTATTGATATGGATCTGACTAAATCCAAACAAAGCCTAAAGTGTAATGATATATCAGGGGTAAACAAAGACAACTAAATAGTGGATATATAACAGGCGCTCCGATCCCAATTCAAAGGAACCAGCATGATGGCTGCGAAATAATAAGCCCAGGTTGATCGAGCACCGTATGTAATACGAACCATGCATCTTTTGCTTTGCTGGCAAACTAGCCTAAATAAATCTATAGAAATCGATGCAACGCAACATATGTGACGACCATTTATTCTTCTTTTTTTTCTGAGGGAAGCACGAAGATAGAACGAGTTGTGCTGTGAAATAAGGCCCATGTTTTATATACTATGACCACAATGAAATGCAACGTATATATATCAGAGTCCAAGACACCACACCAGACTCCAGAGGGATCAGTCATCTTCTCATCCAAGCCAGTGGCAGCCATCGCAATCCCATCACAGTTGGAGGGCACTGCGTGGCTGCTGCTCTCCCAACCCGTCTCCCCTCGTCGTCGTTCTCTCTTTTCTTCAGACAGAGCAACGACATTGATCGAAGAGGCACCCACCATGCATTTCGTCGCAAGCAACGTAGCATCCGATCCGATAGAATTTTGAAACGCCATGCCCATGCATGGAGCATGGTCGCAGTGAGTGGAGTGGATGGTGGTGGTGGGTTGGCGTCGTCAGTGACAGGGAGAGAGGCGTTTCCGTCTACGCAAAGTCTACTCCCACGCTTACTGATCGTCGTCGTCGTCCCCAACCGATCCATCCGCTGTACGACTCCCTGTATCCCACGAAAATTCAAACAAAAATAGGTGTGCCGATTGGGACGGACAGGTCCAGTTAGCTACGGCATTGAATCCATCATTATCGCGAAGCTGATTGCGCGAACCAACTTCAAACCGCCCGAGTATTTGTTCTTGTCTTTTCTTTACGAATGAATGAACATGAACACCCCTAGCTCACCCCTCTCCTCTCCGTTATTCCTCACGACATCATTGCGTGCCGGGTCTCTTTCTTTTCTCTCACACACAGGCTCGATCTGCTGATGAGAGTACGTATATATCCATCCGGCACGGCAATGCTCATGCATGTCATGCGCGCCACCCCACACACGTGAGGCGTTGCGGGCAAGCAAGCATGAGAGAAGGATGCAACGATTTTATTCCCGCAAGTAGATTTTGTTGAGTGTCCTTTTCGTTACAACCAAAAAAAAAAAAAGAAGAACAAAGCCAAGCGCACAAAATACGTGACAAGGCAGCAAGGTTTTGTTTTGTTTTCCTTCTTTTAAACAATATATAACATTGTGTAAAGTAAGGTTTTTTTTTCCTTCTTAATGCACATTTACAACTTTTAAACAATACCGAACATTGTAGTACACATTTACAACTTTTTCTTCTTTGTGCATGCCTAGCACTACACAAACTGTATAATTTTTCACTACAAATAAGCGCACGATTTCAATCCTGCTATAAAAAAAAACTTCAGCTAACATCAAAACTTTTTTTCTCTAGAATTTCATCATTACAGTTCTCAACTATACGTAATTACATACTATAATAAAACCTCCAAGATGTCTATCGTAATCGACTAAGCCGCCTCACGCGCAAGGGGAGGCACTTTTGATTTGACGTGGAATGAAGGAATTGAAAGAAAGTCGACTCACATCATTCCCGCACTTTGAGATCGATGGGACACGAACCAGATGCGCAACTAGCACCGTGTCTATGATTATTTTTTTCTCTAACAAGAAACAACAACTTCAAACTCTTATTGCCACATTTTATTCACATATGTAGATTTTGTTGAATATCCTAAAAACAAAGCGAGGGGCACAATGCAACAATATATGACGTTTGTTTTTCTCTTTGAAGGCAGCATTGAGTGCAGCAAGGAATTTTCTTGATGTCTACCATGCTGCTTTACCTTACGAGAACAACTTTTAAAATGTGCACTACAAATTGGATTATTTTTCAATATACAATAAACGCATAATTCCAATCATGCTATAAAAAAAGTAGGTACCTTAGATACTCTTCTTTAGAATTTCATCATTAGAGCTCTCAACTATACGTAGTTACATACTATAATAAAACCTATAAGATGTCTATTATAACCGATCAAGCCTCATGCAGAAGGGAGGCACTTTTGATTTGACGTGGAAAGAAGGAATTGGAAGAAGGCCGGCTCACATCTTTCCTCACTTTGACATTCATGATGAGGCACGAACCAGAGGTCCTGATGTCTGTTGCATCGTGGCATAAGATTTTTACCCCTCTAACAAGAAACAACAGATTCAAACCCTTACTGTTACATTTTATTCACATACATAGGTTTTGTTGAATATATTTTATTTTAAAAAAACAAAGGGCACAAGGCAGCAAGATTATGTTTTTCTTTAAAGAAAATATGTAGTAAAGTAAGAAATCTTCTTAATGCGCCCCTTTACCTTATGAGGATAATTTTTAAAATTTACTTAAAAATGTGTAATTTTTTACTGTACAATAAACACATAGTTTCAATCCTACTATAAAAACTTAGCTAGCTTGGGTAGCATTTTTTTTTAGAATTTTATCATTAGACTTGTTCACTATATGTAATTACATACTATAACAAAGCCTTTAAGAAGTAAGTTTTTTCTTAAAGAAAACATCGAGTAAAGTAAGCATTTTTCTTAATCTCTAGCATGCTGCTTTATCTTAGGTGGAGAACTTTGTAAATGTGTACTACAAAATTGTATATTTCTTCGCTGTACAATAAACACATAATTTCAATCCTGATACAAAATTAAAACTCAGCTAGCTTTGGTGCTAGGTTTTAGAAAATTTTCATTCGACTTCTTAACTATACGTAATTATGTACTATAATAAAGCCTTTAAGAATGTCTAATATAACCGACGAAACGTCACACGGAAGGGAAGGCGCTTTTGATTTATCATGACAATGGAATGCTTTTGATTTGTCATCGAAATGGATTGGAAGAAATTAGAAGAAGGCCGGCTCACATCTTCGCCCGCTTTGAGATCGGTGAGGCACGAATCTAAGGCGATCATGATTACGACACCGTGGCATAGAATTTCTTTCCCCTCTAACTAGAACCAACAGCTTCAAACTCTAATAGTCACTTTTTCATGAAAAAAAAGTCCAATTATTAAGTCTATGCTCCTTTTCCTTTGCGTGTATTAAGTTCAGGATTTGTATTATACCAGTTGTATATCTTTTTATTTTGCCCTGAGCCTTTAACATGAGCAAAGTCGATGGTTGTAGTAAAGCCGGGCCCACAGAAAAGTCGATCAAAGCGGTGTTTATCTGCCTCCTCCTCTAGCCTCTCTTTCTCTCACTCTAGACGACAAGTATTTAACAGCCTCGGCGGCTTGGCGCTACCGCCTTGCATCCTTTGCGTTGTCCGCCCCGCCCCTCCCTCGTTTCACCTCCTCCCACTCCCTCGCACCCACCGCGGCGCCGCTCGTGATCTCCCGCGCGCCTACCGACGGCCAGATGAGCTCCACGGCTGCCGACGTCCTCCCGGAGCTGCCGCCGATCAGGACGACCACGGCGCCAGCTGCGGCGCCGGAGCCGGCATGTTCGTCGGCGGCCTCGTCGTCGACAGCGCCGGCGCCGGACGCGGAGTCCGTGGCCTTGCCTGCGGCGGAGAAGCAGCAGCAGCAGCAGCAGGGGAGGACGCCGGCTCGGAGGCCCCGGGCAGGAGCCCACGACGCCGACGTCGGAGGGGAGCAGGCTACAGCCGCTGGCCGAGTGCCCGCCGGCGCCGAGGAAGCCGGCGTGGGCGCCTCCGCCGCCGTCGTCTACGCTCGTGAAGCGCAAGTTCCCGTCGTCCGCGGCGCCGTCGTCGCGCCGCGCCTTCTTCCCCGTCGCGCGCGACCTCACCTCCGTGTTCCGGGCCCTGCCGCCCAAGAAGCGGATCCGGGCGGGCTGACGGCCGGGCGCGGGCCCGATCCGCGCCGCCGAGGCTCAGGTGGCCGCCAATTGGGTTCTAAGCTACCTGGCGTACGGTGGTCGCCGCGGCTCAGGTGACCCTCACCGGCATCCACTCACTCCTGTGCGGTACGGTGGTCGCCGCGGCGGCTCACGGATCTGGGTGACCGCCGCGGCGGCGTCGACAGCTCCGACCTCTCCTCTCCACCGTCGAAAGCCGGCCGCTTGTGCTGCACTCATCCTTGGAGGACCATGGTGCCAAAAGAGTGGAGCCTGGTGTTGTTGCACATGGACTCTTCCAGTTCTTTGGTTCTTGCACACCACACCTTGGCTTCTCCTTCCTTTCCCCTCCCTTCTTTTCATGGTTTGATTGCAAGGCCAAGGCATGGTACAGACTACAGAGCTCTCGTACAAATAGTGTGTTTTATTATATTTTTTCCTCTGCTTTTTTAGTGGGGTTGTGTGGAGTAGAAACTGTAGAATTGGAAAAAGGCTGTTTATTTATAGGGTTGATGAATGGGGAAAAAAATAGGAAGTCTGTAAGAGGGAGGATTCCCAGAGATCTGTTCAGTTTATTCGTTATATAAACTATAGTTCACAGTTTGCCAAAATCACGAGCTTTCGCCTAAAGAAAAAAGATCATGGGCTCATCTCAGTTCAGTTCAGTTCTGTTGGTGTGTACTTGTGTTTTTGTTTTACGATGGCCTTGGTTCCCGTGTCAATTGCAGCGTGAAAGCTCGTCCGTCAGTCACAACAACAAAGAGCTCAAGAACAAGTGTGTCTGGCAGTAGATGGGAGAAAGAGAAACAATAATCCTGCACATGAAGAGGAGGCAATTCAAGCTTGAAGATCTGCCAGTTTCAAGTTTTCGACTGAATTCGATCTGGCAGTGTTGAAGCTTCCTAACCCGGATGCGCATTTGTGATCCTTTTGGTGGGGATCGGATCTTCAGAATTTGTTGGGCTGCCTGTTGTGGATGGATCCATGGAGGAATGGACAGGACCGGAGCATGCAAGGAAGGTGGGGGATGGATGATGGGCAGCGTGGGCAGGCTGGGGATGTACTTTGTGCTCTTTTGTCCCGGCACTGCACTGCACTTGGTGTGGGTGAGGAGAACCTTCTATTCATGAGAGCAGCATGCATGGGGATGGCCAACAATGGCATGGTAGTGTGGGGTGAACAACTAGTTTCTTTTCTTTTTAACCTCCCTGGAGGCTGCTAAATGGATGGATGCCTGTGTCCAGACTAGTCCTTATTTATCTCTGGCCTGGTTTAGTTCGCGAAATTTGGATTTTGGGGCTACTGTAGCACCTTCGTTTTTATTTGACAAATAGTGTCCAAACATTGACTAATTAGGCTTAAAACGTTCGTCTCGCAATTTCCCACCAAACTGTGCAATTAGTTTTTCTTTTCGTCTACATTTAATGCTCCATGCACGGGCCGCAAACATTCGATGTGACAGGTACTGTAGCAACTTTTTGGATTTTGGGGGTGAACTAAACAAGGGCTCTGTAAATTTCCTGTGCTACATGGCTACTACATTCCTCTAATCTTTTCCCTGGTTGCCTGGTAAAATAAAAAAATAAAAAATCAAGTTGCAACATGCATGTTTGTTCTTCAGTTTAGTTGACAAATGACAGTGGCAGGCACAGATCGCAGGGGGGCTGCGGCGAAGAGGCGAAGAAGCCGCTTGTACATGTGCAGAGCAAGCAGCCTCCACTCTCACATGCATCCATGTGGTGGAAGCTATTGGGTGGATCCATCCATGGTGATTGGTGATGGAAGCTGTGATGTGCATGCATGCTGGGTGTTGAGGGCCAAGTAGGGGAGAAACAAACAAGGGGAAGAAGCTGCAGAAACTTTCTTCCTTCTCTCGCGCTTCACATGGGCTGTTGCATCTACCACTACAGTTTAGAGGCAGCTTGCTCTTGGCCTCTCTCTGCCTACTTCAGGAACAGAGGGGTCCGTCAGTCTCGGCCAGGCAGCCAGCCCCTAGTTGTTTTAGGAAAGCCATCATGAGATGGGAGACCCGGGCAGCACGGAGAGCATCTTGTTGCCTCCTACTCCTATGCAGTGGCGTGCAGAGGCAGGGAGAGCTTGGAGAGGCTCGCTTGAGGTGCAAGTGCAAGAAGCTATAATTTTTTTTTAAGAATAAGCTATAAAATTTTTGGAGCTGCTAAATTTGGCGCACATCATCGGCAGGGCGCCAGGGTGAAGGCTAGCTGACTCTACAATTTCCTACGCAGCTCGCACAAGGAAAAAGATACTTTTTTTTTAATAAAAGAAAGAGGAAAACTATGTTTGTGCTGTCTGTAGCATATTTTATTTTCTGTAATGTAAAGCATTTGGTATTTCTATTTTGTTTTTTTATGAAGACGCTCAAAAGAGCGTTTTAATAAATCTAATAAAATATCAATACAATTATACAAATAGAGGCTAGTGCATAAAATGGACAATAAGACACAAAGCGAATTCTAAGAAAAATAAGAGCATACCAAAAAACAAAAATAGGGCTGCTGGTGGAAAATAATTGCTAACTTAACACTTGGGAATCTGTAACGCGCAAGAGGTGAAAACAATATAAGGACCTGTTTAAATCCAAACTACTAAAAATTAGCACTATATATTTAGATGCTAATTAGATACATAGAGGCCTTGTTTGTTAGGGCTCCTCTTCGGCTTCGGTTCTCTTGAAGGAGCCCTACCAAACGGTTTATCAGAAGTTGTTTAGAGTCGTTTTTTAATGAAAAAAGGAGGAGCTGGAGCCGTTTTGTCTCCTCCTCTGGGGAAGCCCTTAGGAAGGAGCCCTACTAGACACACCTAGAGAATCGTCTACTTTGCCGATGAGTGAATTAGTTGTTGAAAAAAACCAGTGGATACTTACCTAGGATGTAAATAAAAAAAAATACTCCTCTTCTTTAGATGACCTCAAACTAAGACTAACAATTAATCAAGGTACCAAACCAGCCCTAGTAACGCCGTGTTTAGTTGTAGGAATTTGTATTTTGGGGCTACTGTAGCACGTTCGTTTTTATTTGGCAAATATTGTTCAAACATGGACTATTTAGGCTCAAAACGTTCGTCTCGTAATTTCCCACCAAACTGTGTAATTAATTTTTCTTTTCGTCTACATTTAATGCTCCATGCACGGGCCGCAAACATTCGATGTGATAGGTACTGTAACAATTTTTTAGAAGTTAGGGTGGAACTAAACAAGGACTAAAGTAACCTCCTGTTCCTAGGAGGAGCAGTAACGAACGAGCAGCCGGGCATGCCTGCAGTTTCTGCACCCTGTGCAGGCAGGCATGGGATTCTGTTGGTTTGGCTTGGTTTCATCACCACGAAACCAGGCGATCAATGCAGGGCTCCCAGGTCAAACGGGTAGGTAGGCCCTGCACCAGCACGGACGTATGGGCGGCGACGCACGCCATGAGGACACCACCAAACCACCACCAGTGCGTGTGCGTGCGTGCAATGCAATGCAGCCTAGGATTCTCCTTGGGAGCGAGCGACAGATATGCCGTTCCCATCGGCCATCGCCATCGCCACGTCGAGAGTCATTGACCTCCCCCTTCGCACGGACACAAAACGTTACCACGGTTCACGGCAGCATTGCAGTTAAAAAAAAAGAAATTGGCTGCTCCTCTCTCCGTTCACCGGCCGCCGGCCGGACCAGCACAGCAGCACAGCACACGGCTCTGCTGCTGCAAGCTGTATATAGCGTGCGGACGTGCGGTGCGGGCAGTAATAAATAAAAAACGACAGTGCCCTGCAACTGCATGTTCTGCTCCTGCTTCCATGTCGATGTCGTCGTCCTGGGCTTCGGCCGGTTTCGCGAGGGGTCCCGTACATTCTCTGCTCGCCCACGCTCGCTTATAAGTCGTATTTTTTCAATCAACCAACAGTATTTTTATTTCACAATAGATCAGCTAATAGTACTTTCAGCCATGTCTTATTAGCCAAGTGAATAGACCAGAGGAAGGGAAATCTTCCCCTGCCTACTGCTGCTGCTGACCTGCTGTGCCTGCCACTATCACGGCAGTCCTCACAGGCTCACAACGCGCGTACTCTCTCCTCTGTCCCTCCCACCGAACCCAGAAAAGGGATTAAAGTTAAAAATTATTTTAAATCAAACTAAACTTAAACAAATTGTAAGTGGAATTCTTCCCGCTGTTCCATTCATTGATCCAGAGTTTATAAAAGGACTTACATGACTCTTCCACTACTAAGACTCTTCGTTCTAGACTTTTCCACTACTTAAGACTCTTCATTTTAGACTACACAAATTCTAGGCTATTCATATTCTAATACCCTTCCGCAGTCTCAACTAGGAGATGATCGAACATTGAGACTGGATCGAAAGTTGAGGAAGACAGCAATTGGTAATCCCTTAGTAAATATGTCAGCATACTGAAGGGATGTAGGAACATGTAGAACCCGCACAGCGCCAAGGGCCACACGCTCTTGGACAAAATGGATATCGATTTCCACGTGGTTGGTCCTTTAGTGATGAACTGGGTTTGTTGACAAATACACGGCACTGATGTTGTCACAATAGACAAGAGTAGCACGTGGTAAAAGGACGATGAAGTTCGCCCAAGAGTTGGGGAATCCAACAAGCCTCATCCACGGCATTGGCAACACCCCTGTATTCGGCCTTGGCACTGGACCTTGAGACAGTGTGTTGGCGCTTGGACGACCATGATATAAGATTATCGCCAAGAAACACACAATACCCAGAAGTAGAGCGGCGGGTATCCGGGCAGCCTGTCCAATCGGCATCCGAGTAGATGATCAAATCATGTGACCGGCTGCAAGAGAGAGTAAGACCGTACTCCATGGTGCCTTTGATATATCGCAGAATGAGTTTGATGAGAGCAAAATGGGACTCACGGGGGTCATGCATATACAAGCAAACTTGTTAGACGGCATGAGCAATGTCCGGCCGTGTGAGCGTCAAGTATTATAACGCCCCAGCAAGACTACGATATAGAGTAGGATCGGCAACCGGTGGTCTATCTTGGGCGAACAACTTGGAATGAACCTCAATTGGAGTTTGGCAAGGATTGCATGATGACATATTTGCCTTGTCCAAAATT